ATTAATCCGCTTATATCTTTTGTCCTGCATTTCAACTGACAAAGTCTACCAATTGCGTTATTTGCTTAAATAAAACAGTTCAACCGTTTTAAGTGATATCCGAAGTCTTGTTCTATCGACGAATGACGCAGAATATCAATATATCAGTTTCTTATAGCCGGTTTCCTTCTCAAGCACAAATGGTCTTTGAAATATGTATAATTGGAGATAATGTCATGTGAAATAAAATCGTGGAGATTCATATGAAACAAAATCTTAACATTCTGTTCTGTCAAGATTCAAATACATTACAAGCTGCTTTGCTTTCACGGTTTACTTTGTAGCTTGAAGTGAAATTTACTATGCAATGAAATGATATTTTGAAATAATGCCATTGGATGAGGAATAAAAGCCTTGGTTACGTGATGGGTTCATGACGTTACTACGTGATGCGTTCCTGACAGATCGGTGAAGCATTTATCTGCAATAAGTGTGATATTCATATAAGATAATGCTGATCTTCCTCCAGATTTTTTCGTGATTGTAAATCCCTATGAAACTTTAGGTCGTGAAAGAAAATCTTATCACATAATGAAATTTAACTCTAGAGGTTCGATTTGTTGGAAACAATCTCTGGAAGACGTGAAATGAGCGTTTCTTTTCATTAGTTCTTGTTTTCCATCTTTGTTACCTGCAGCTATTTTGCATCGTTCAAGGGCATATAAATAAATTCTAAATATTACTTCCACTTTGATCTGATACACTGGTACATGAAACAAAATAAAAGTCCTCACGTAGACACCTTATTCGATAAATAGTTTACTAATAACGGCTGGTTTTCAGTACTGCCTGGAGAAAACATCATGCGCCTCGTTCCCTGAGCTTACTTGGTGGTTATATAGTGTCAGACTTCGGACTTACTCCTTCATTGTGCTTATGCGACAGTTTTGAGGTACCGCTATACTGTAAGGTTTTACGCGGCTAGATGCTTTTTAATTTATTATTATTCTACGGTGCATTCTCCGAAATTACACGGTGTAGGTATCGTTCAGTTACTTCAACTGGCCTAGGGAACCCTTTTAGCAGGCCACTGCTCCATGGTATTTTAGCACCCACAAAGCATGAATGCAAATCTGCGTCAGTGAATGGGGCCAAACAAATTTCTGTATACACACAACCCCGATTGCTAGCATGAGGTTATTGGCAAACGGATGGTTTTCTGTACACCGGTAAGAACAGAAT